TAACATTCACAGAAATATGGAATATCTTAAATATTTAAATCATTTTAATGTTTTGGGGGGATGACATGGAAAACTGAAGATATCTTTAATTATTTGAGATTTTTGTAACTGGAAATTCTTTAAAATCCTGTTTTGCTAGTAAGTTGGTTTTAGAGGCTGCAAACAAGTAAAGTGGTAGCCATTAAAAGAACCTCTACTGCTGACATTAATTTACAAGGGTCAACAGGACAAAACTCTATGACATCATAGCTGATCTGGGACATGAAGAGCTGCCCCACATCCCTTCAGGAATCATTAATCAGTCAGTCTAGTTCATCCACTACTAGAATGACTGATTATGAAGGTGCAAGAGCAGAGGAAGGTATAAAGTTTAGCTACCATTTTATTTACATTGCAGGAGATGTTAATTCCAAGTCACATCTCCTTAGTATTATAATTTGCTGCTGTTTTAAAATGCTGAAGATGACTTTATTTTTTTCTTATTTTAAAAATATATTTTTATTGATTTCAGAGAGGAAGGGAAAAGGAGAGAGAATCATTGATCGGCTGCCTCCTGCACACCCCACGCGGGGGATTGAGTCCACAACCTGGGCATGTGCCCCAATTGGGAATTGAACCGTGACCTCCTGGTTCATAGCTCGACACTCAAACAAGTGAGCGACACTGGCTGGAATGAAAATGGCTTTAAATCATCTTCATAGAACATGTTGGGCAAGCTCGTGATGTAATTGTCTAAGGGATTTTTGAAATTTTTTGCTCCTGTGTCTTTGTTTTGGGGTGTGTGTGTGTGTGTATGTGTGTTGTTAAACCTCACCCGAGGATATTATTTCCACTGCTTTTCAGAGGGAAAGGGAGTGGGGAGAAGAGAAAGAGAGAGAGAAACATGAATTTGAGAGAGAGACATTGATTGGTTGCCTCCCACATGTACCTGGACTGAGGGCAGGGAGCAAACCTGCTACCCTTTGGTGGGCAGGCAGATGCTCCAATCACTGAACCACACTGGCTAATTTTAGATAGAGTTGTTTTTATCCCAGGGGTCAATTCAGAGAACCTCTCAGAAATCTAACTAGCTTACAGAAAATAGCAATTTAAAAAATCATTTTAGAATGAGGCAGCATCTTATTCTTTAACTTTGGTACCAAGTATACTTGGTAATGAAACTAGAAATGTGCATGAAATGAAAGTACTACTTAGGCATTTTTTGTTTTCCAGAATTGATTTTAGCTGAAGATATGTATATATATTTCAGTTATTTATAATTTAGGTGCAGATACTTAAAATTCTAAGTAATGAGACTGAATTCTTACCAAGGGCTTACTGTGACATGATCCCATATAATAAAAGGCTAATATGCAAATTGACTGAATGGCAGAACAGCCGGTCGCTATGATGTGCACTGACCACCAGGGGGGCAGATGTTCAATGCAGGAGCTGCCCCCTGGTGGTCAGTGCACTCCCACAGGGGGAGTGCCTCTCATCCAGAAGCCGGGCTCACGCTGGCGAGCCCAGCAGTGGTGGCAGGAGCCTCTTCCACCTCTGTGGCAGTGCTAAGGATAAGGATGTCCGACTGCCATCATAACAATGTACCTACCTATATAGTTTAAGTTTAAAAAATTGGGCTCTCAAAAGAAATTTCAATCGTTGTACTGTTGATATTTGGCTCTGTTGACTAATGAGTTTGCCAACCACTGCCCTCGGGCTTCCGGACTACGAGAGGGCACAGGTCTGCCTGAGGGACCGCCTTCTTCTCCCCTCCCCCCGCCCCCCTAAGCCCCCCAGTGCATGAATTTCATGCACTGGGCCTCTAGTATAAGATACTTAATTATCTAATAATTCGGCATATAGATTTGAATTTCATTGATGTTTCTGTTTTCGCTATGTAACAATTTGATGCCTCAGTCAAAAAAATTTTAATACATCCATTCTCCTTTAGGAGTTCTCTAGTAGCACATTTTTCTTACAGTTAAACAAATAATTTTGCGTTTTTTTCCCCTCTTAGAATCATATCTGCATGCAGATATGACAATTACAGATTATGGTGAGAAATAATAAAGCCAAACAAAACATATTAATGCATGAAAAGTAAAATAGTCTGTTGACTTTTCCAAATCTATTTTCTGCTATTGAGCTATTTTCCTGTTTTACATCAGGAAGTATTTTCTAAAATCCACATACCAAATCCATTATTTTTCATTTTATGCATTTCAGGTGGTTATCTTCTTTAGCTTTTGGGTTGTTTTGCCAAATAATGCATAGGTAAACTTGCTAAAATTTTTGTAGTTTGTGTTGTACATTGAACTGTAGATTTTGCATTTAAATCAATTTAGTGCTCTCTTTGTGTGCTTATGTGTGTGTCCTTTAAAAAAAAAAAAGTGAGTCAGTGATATAACTCTTAATGGTGGAAGGAATAGGAAATGGGGAGTTAAGTACAAACCTAATTGTAAATCTTAGCATTTATTTTAAAAGAAGCAAATTCAGTCTCTACATAAAGCTAAGAAGGAAACAGAGTTCATAATCTCTCTTTTTTTTTAGTGGCAACCTCCAACTTCATACTTTCTTGTTGAAGTCCATGTCATACATCATTTTGTAAAGACAAAATGTCTGTTTTCAGAAAGAGAAAGTTCTGTATCCCAACCTTTCAGACTATTTTTAGTAAAGACTTAAGATATACCATGTCAACACTGAATCAGTTATTGGGCTGTGTTCTTTAGTTTTGATAAAATTGAAGGAGGAAGAAGAGTTTGATTATGTGAGCTACAGAGGTTTCCTTGGTCATTAAGTGTCTATAAAAAGGAGGATTAGTTACAAAAGGACCTTGTTGTAAGATCCCATTTGGGACCCTAATATTTCCATAAAGGGAAATGATAATAGTATTGTTTAATTGTTAAATCTTTTAGGCTATTAATAAAAAGTGTCATAATTTTCATCATTAAAAGCTGCTTTTAATAATTTTATTTTTCTTTGAATTGCCAATGACATTTTTATGCCTATGTGATTATGTGCTATAAGTAATTGTATTAACATTAATAAAGTGAATTTATAGAATACAAATTAATTTCCTCTATAAGAAAACAAGAGTGAATAAATTGAATATTTACTGTGATTATCACATCCACAGTGATGATGGGTGATTACGGAAAGTAGAAATATAGCTGAAAAGATTTTTTCACATATATATGTAATAAATGCTGAGTGAGCAGCATAGCTTGCTATATATACAATTGAGAAATGTAGTCATATGACTAATTAGAAATGGATACAAATACTAACTTTTTGTTTGAAACTCCAATAAAACTAGCCCGGATAGCCAGGCACTTCCCTTCACATGCCCCTACATTGGTCAACAACTGATTAGAAATATCTTTGTAAAAAGAATATGTAATAATGCTAATTAATTTATTATGTTAAAGTTATTTTATTAGGGTTTTATTGAGATTTGTATAATTGTGAGTGGAAGGAATTGTGGCATTTTGTTCTAACTTTTCTTATAAACAAATTATGAGCTTAAAAGAAATATATGACCTAGTACTGGCTAAAAATGCTTTTAGTAAATAGTACCAAATGAATTTTTATATAATTGTTCTTAAACATAATTTTAAAATATTGATTTTATTGTTCTTAGCTGCTTTGGTATTACCAATAATTGCATACTAAATATTGGTAGGAAGGGTCAGTACTATACATTATTCAGTTTCAATTAGTATAATCAATCAAAAATTAAATACTACTAGTATCCCTATGTATATTTTCTATCAAATTTACTCTAGATTAGCTGTTGACTCACAACTTCATTTTAGCAGTGTCATGTAAGACTTGATTTGAGTCAAATTATATAGCTTACTTTTATATTATTGCTTACTTTGATAAATAATTAGATAGTCTAAATATAGATTAATTTTACTTTTGCTATAGTATTTATCTAGGAAAAGTTGACTTGTATCTTAATTTTTTTCAGTAGTTGTGATAATGATGACTGACAAGTGTTATACCTGTTATGTTTCCTATAGTGTATTAAATTTATATCATTCAAATTTTTCAAAATTGATAATTAGCTTGAGTTTTTATATACTGTTTTTCTTTTAATTTTGCTCATGAATTTTAAATTTGTTTTGATATATTGAGTTGTTTTTTATTACAGTGACTTGTGTACTTTCCCCTGGCATCTTAAGCTTAAAATTTTGCTTTCAAAGCATGTTTGAAATGATAACTGAGAATTATTGCTTATACTATAACTGTTATAGCAAAATATTTATATATTAGTATAGTTATTCTAATTATGACAGTGTTTGATTTTAATTGCTCAAAGTATTATAAATTTAACTTAAAATTCTATAGTTATTTTATTTTAGAAGTATCATAGTAAATAAAAGGGAAGTTACAATAAACAATTGTAGTCAAACCTTGAAAGCTGGAAGGCATTCTAAATATCACATGGATTAACCTTTTGCAGAAAGAAATTGACATTGTTGGTGGTAGAACTGCCCTCTTTCTAGACCATTGCTGTTATTGGAGGAATTTGAGTAATTTAAGGCTTCATTTCAAGAAATTGATACATGGCATTATAGATGGAGATAATTTAATTTGAATGCTTATATTAATTTTTATCAGGAACTAGAATACCTAGCACTTCTAAGCAAATAGGATGCAAAGCGAAAGGACTTCCCAACAATTTACAATATTTAAAAAATACTATAGTTATAATTGTACTGAAGTGATAAAGTGATTTAAATAGAGCTTTTGTGCCCCACCTCCCAACCTGGAATAATATATCTAATACACATTTATTTGCTTTGTGGGAGATTTTGTTGTAGTTCCTAAATAAACATTTATTTTTTACTATTTAGTAATAGGATTTTTTGAGTGGAAGAAATAAGGAGGGAAGTGGGAAGATACAATTTATATTACTGTATTATAACTGTTAAGTGCTTACATTTCCCCCACAATATTGTCTTATACTGTATGATTTTTCAGCATTTAAGAAGCGGTTTTGTTCTTTATAGCTGAACCAATAACGTTTCCATCTGGAGGAGGCAAGTCATTTATTATGGGTTCTGATGATGTTTTGTTAAGTGTACTGGGCCTTGGAGACCTTGCAGACTTGACGGTAACAAATGATGCAGACTATAGTTATGATGTAAGTGCAGTTTTATTTTTAATTTTTTAATGATTTAATAGAAGGCTCCTTATTTTTGGAAACACTTATAAAATAGAATTAATATCAAGGTGCATGGAAAAGATAAGTTTGTGTGTCAATATGTTGAGTTGAAGTGACATGTAGTTGTGTGTTTTTTTAATAACTAGTTTCTTTGTGGTGGTTAAATTTTTCTTAGGTATTGTGGTGGATTAGTTAGGAGTTTGGGATGATTGATTATCTTAAAATACTGATCAATAAATATCTATCTTGAGTAGTCAACTCTCAATTATTTATTCAAGTTAAGCCATATTTCAGTGTTAAGGATAAAAATAGCCTGATCACTTCAGGACACTTCTTAAAAAGCATGTTTTATTTTGGAACTTTTATTTTTTTAAGGATAATGTTCAAGTTAGCTTGTTGCCATTTCCTGATTTTCAGTCCTTCATTTGAGGGATTGGGGGAGGATGGAGGGGAAATGGGAAGGACAGTGTTAGTGGTGAAACTAGTCTGGGATTAAATTTTTTATATACAGTAAACATTCAATTGAGAGTTAACTAAACTTGTTTAACTTTTATATAATGAATTTGCAGTTTTCAGCAAATGTTTTGTTTTTTAACGAATTCATTTTTTCTACATTTTATAAAGTACATAGGGGACTAAATTCTAGTAAACTTGACTAGTTTGGAAGAGAGTTCATAACCTATTTTACAGATGGAGAAATGATGATAAAAAGATTAACCTCATGTCAGTATCAACAGTAATGATGAACATATTCTTAAAGTGTCTTTAGTTCAAATTTTTGGGAAGTACCTTAACTTGCTGCCTTTAAAAACTTCACATTGCTAATTTTCTGGAATGACAACTGTACTATTAATATTGTACTCTTGGATTTTTGGTAGTAATTTATTTAATTTTTATTGTTTTCATATAAGGTATTGCAGCATGGTAGTTCTTTGTTCTCATCTGATATTTCCTAGGACCTTTGAGTTTAGCTTGATGATTAGGTAAAACAGATTGAGGGACTCCATTTGATGTAGGTATTTGAAAGCTAATGAAATTATTCTTAGTTCTTATTAAATGATAAAGATTTATTATAAAGCTTTATAGGTACATTAAATTTTCTACTAGACAGTTTAGCAAAGCAGTTTAACATATATGTTTTAAACACATCAAAACAAATAAAAATTCCACATGTCTATTAATTTACTACTTTTACCACTAAATATTGTGCTTTTTCTTTTTAGTTGCCTGCCAATAAAGATGCCTTTCGAAAGACATGGAATCCCAAGTATACACTACGTAGCCATTTTGATGGAGTCCGGGCATTAGCTTTTCATCCTGTAGAACCTGTGCTAGTTACCGCTTCTGAGGATCATACTCTGAAACTTTGGAACTTGCAAAAAACAGTTCCTGCCAAAAAGTAAGTATTTTAACGGTAGCCTATGTTTTTTTTCCCTTCCAAATTTGTCAAAAATTAGAAGTAATTATTTTTTATGGTCCCATATCATGCATGCACTCAATTTGATCTTACCTAATGATTCTTGAATATCAGCCAATGGTTTACGATTATTTAATTGTCTTCTCTCCCATCCTTTCTCTCCCCCTACCCCCTTTTAGGAGTGCCTCTTTAGATGTAGAGCCTATCTACACATTTAGGGCCCACATGTAAGTTTTATTTTATCCATAAATCTTATAAAATTGTAGTAATGTTTGTTTTATATTAGAAAAGACAGTACTTGATTAATATTTTATTTTATTAATAATTGTATTAGGAGAATATAGTCATTACTATTCAAGTGTACATGTTTACCTTACATAGTTTTAAGATGCCACACAAATTCAGAGGTTGGAGACTGCGTATATGAGTTTCTTTTCTAAGCTTTATAAGTAACTTTTTTCTTTTTCTTCCTATAATAGTGGCCCTGTTCTATCATTAGCTATTAGTTCTAATGGAGAGCAGTGTTTCAGTGGTGGTATAGATGCAACCATCCAGTGGTGGAATATGCCTAGCCCTAATGTGGATCCATATGATACATACGGTAAGTAAAAGGTTCAAAATATATATTTTTAAGTGCATGGAGCTGGCAAAAGTAAATACCTCAGCTAGAAGCTTGTTTAAACATGTATTAGTTTCCTTGTTTTGTTATTCCATTTCTAATAATTTGCTTTATTAAGGGGAAACATTAGAAAATAGGCCAGGAATATTTAGGCCTGTGAATTGGTACTTTCTCTATGGTGTCCAAAATATCTATACTAATAATAGGATAATAGGCAAATTGGTTGGGATGCTCTCATGCATAATGACCCATCAGCAGGCTGTGTGCAGCAGGCACAGGTGGGCGGGGACTTGCAGTGTTGGGGACTTGCGCCACGCCGTCACAATCCATCACCAGGAGGGCCTCTGTGTGGCCCGGCCTGGGGGTGGCCCCCTGTGGAGGCCTGACCAGCACTAACATGATGCTGCCTGCGTGCTTCCCCGCCCAGCACTAACGTGACTCTGCCTGCGTGTGTCCCGGGCCTGGGACGCGGCAGTGGGGGCCAGTTGAGGGCAATCAGGCCGGTAGATGGTTCAGTGTGGGCGAGCAGTCCGGCGCGGGGAGCAAGCAGTTAGGGGCGACATCAGGCTAGCAGGGAGCAGTTAGTGGCGAGATCAGGCAGGCATGCAGAGGTGATTAGGGGTGATCAGGCAGGCAGGCAGAATGGTTAGGGGTGATCAGGTAGGCATGCAGGTGAGCAGTTAGGAGCCAGTGGTCCCAGATTGGAGAGGATTCAGGCTGTGCTGAGGGACTCCCACCCCCATGCATAAATTTTGTGCACCGAGCCTCTGGTGGTTAAATAAACAGTGGTCTACTTAATGGTTGGTTTATTTAAGAAGAACTTGAGCTCTTTAGTGTTTCTATTTAACACACACTTGGTGCCTAACTTTGCCAGGTTTGGTGTTAAGTACTACATCAAGAAGTAAGAATTAGCCTTGGGTGGTGTTGCTCAAGTTGGTTGTGTATTGTGCCATGCACCGACAGATTGCCAGTTCGATTTCTGGTCATGGAACATGCCCAGGTTGCAGGTTCCATCCCCAGTAGGAGGTGTGCAGGAGGCAGCCAATCGAATATTTCAATCTCACATTGATGTTTCTTTCTCCCTCTCGCTTTTATTTTCTCAAAATCTATAAAAATATTTTTTTAAAAAAAGAAGTAAGAATTGTCTAATGGAAATGATAGGCATTAAACAGATAAGCAAAGGGATAGAGTATAGTTAAAAACCGTGATAAGTACTATGATAGTACAGTTCTATGAGAGGGAGTAACGGGTGGAACTTTCTTTGCATGTAGTCTAAAATGGTGACATTCAAACTAAAATATACAATATAAAAGGGTAATTTTAGTATAGTAGACCCTCCTTCTCAGCAGTTTGATTTCTGAGGATTCAGTTACCTGAGGTCAACCACGGTCCAAAAATGTTAACTGGAAAATTCCAGAAATAAAAAATTGGTAAGTGCTATGTTTTACTTGCACACAGTCTGAGTAGCATGATGAAATCCAGCATCCTACTGCTCGATCCTGCCCTAGATATGAATCATTCCTTTTTTCAACATATCCACACTGTGTATGCTTACCTGTCCGTTAGTCACTTGGTATCCAGGTATGGCAGTGCTTATGTCCCAGTAACCTTTAATTTACTTAATAATGGCCCCAAAGTGCAAGAGAATTGATACTGCCAATTGGAATATACCAAAAAGAAATTATTTTTTAATCCTCATCCAAGCATATGTTGTTGTTTTATTGATTTGAGAGAGAGAGAGGAAGAGAAAGAGAGAAACATCGATCCATTGCCTCCTGTACGCCACAACTGAGGATCAAACCCACAACCTTTTGGTGTATGGGATGATGCGCCAACCAACTGAGCCATCCGGCCAGGGCTATAAAATGCTTCCTTTAAGTGAGAATGTGAAAGTTTTTGACTAAATAGGAAAATAAAATATGCTGAAGTTCCTATCCATGAAATTGTGAAGAAGGAAAAAGAAATTCATGCTTGAGCTGAACCCAGGCAATTGGAGGCTTCTCAATGAGAGACTCAGGAATACAATAGTTCACCCTTGAGGCAACTTATACCCTCTCCCCTGTCCTTAGAATGTACGGTTTGCTTACTGTTCCCGCAATAGAAGTCCTTTTTAAGGATATAGCCTTGAAACAGTAAGACGTTGAGACCAGCTGGCTTGAATACATTACTGAACTCAGTTAAGGCCTCTATATGCACTTAAGAGTCTACTTGTCTTGCTGCCATTCAAAACAAGCCTTTTATGTAAGTTCTCTTGCTTATTAAATTTGCAACCTACCAAAAAAAGAAAAAAGAAATCTGTGCTAGTTCGCTGAAAGAGTGCATTCACATAACTTGTTATAGTATCCTATCTAATAAAAGAGAAACATGGTAATTAGCCATACCTTCGCTACCCTTCCCATTGGCCAATCAGGGCGATATGCAAATTAACTGCCAATCAAGATGGCAGCCGGCAGCCAGGCAGCTTGAAGCTAACATGAGTCTTGCTTGCTTCAGTGACGGAGGAAACCAACGTTCCCTGCCTGCCTTGCCGGCCTCTGAGCTTGCAG